GATGGCTTTCCTGCCAGGCGGCGTGGCCCCCAAGTCAAAACCATGGCTGCGAGTCAAAGGCAGACTTGCCAATGCTGTCTGGATATGGTGACTACATAGTATACGCGCACGTATACACATGTATACATACGTGTATATGCATACATATACCTAAACCTGAAACTCTAGACCCCAAACTCGACATATACAGACACATGCACAGGTTCAAAAAAGGCTGGGTCCATAAAATGCTTCTTCGTGGAATTCTCAAGTTCTAAGGTTATTATGGGCCCTTAGGCGTTTGAGGGGGATTCTAGAAACCCTTAAAGGTACGTAAAAGGTATATAGTAGGTATATAGCAATCCCAGATTTAGGGCTCATACTAGTGGCCCATGGTTTCCCTAAACCCTGAACCCTATACCTTAAACCCTATACCCTATACCCTACTAGGGGCCAATGGTCTGAACCTTAGACAAGTTAGTTTCATTTCAGGCGCCATGCGTGCTGCTGGAGGCATGGCAGACTGCAAGGTGGGCCCCGCTTCAAGTCCTGGAAAACGGGTTAGTAGGGAATAAGGGAATACAATCCCTATATGAGCTATAGTCTAAACTCCCTAAAGGGGGGTTTATATGGGGGATTATAGAGGGGAGTATTATAGGGGTTATTAAGGGGGATACTAGGAGTTTAGACAGTGGCTCCTCTAACATGGCCCGCCCCGGTGCACAGAAATTCCTCGCAGAGGTGGTGGTCCGAGGGGGTCAGGGGGAAGTCGGGGGATGCTCACCGGCCCCAACTCCTAAGCCCCCAAGATTTGGTATTTTCCCAAAATATGGGGACCCCAAAATAGACATCAAAATAGTATAATCTGTATTCTGAGGACCTGAGGACCACCCAAAAAGTACCAATAATTTTGGGAAACTCCCATTTGGAAGTCATGGAATTTCGTTGTTGCTCAGTGGGATTGGGCCGCCCAGGGTTTTAGAGAGTTGGAAATGCCCTCAAGCTGGATCAGCCCCTTATTCCGTACTGACCCCCCAAAACCCTCATTATAGGAACCCCCAAAATGGTACACCTAATTTTGGGAAACTCCCAAAAACCTTACATAACCTCAATAGAACCCATATAAACCCTTGTAATGGTGCCATATCTACATAAGACTTACGCGGCACCCACACTACACAGTCCACCTCGTACAGTCTCATAGTCCCCTTTAAGTAGATACAATATGTCTTTGGGTATATTACAATACGATCCCCATATACCCCACATTCTATCTACTTAAGGGGGACTATATACATTGTTAAATCATCTAAGCTCCGAGCACCATGCCTGCAGGACATGCGCACAGACTCTAGCCCTCGCTCCAAGGGTTTTGATTGGCCACGCCCACGCAGCGAGGTAGGGCTAAATTTTGGGGGTTGTCCAGTTGGTGGGGTTGTTAGGGGAGGAAGGGTGGATCGTTTTTTTTTTTGGTGTTTCCTTCTTTATCGAATTTACCTTATTTTGAGTACTAAGGGATTGTAGGTGCCTTTGAAAGGATTCTCCAAGGACATCTTGAATAACGGGCACTTTCGCAAGAGAGCATTGAAACGGTATGCAACTTGTATGACTCCTGAACAAGTCTTTTCCCGTTCAAGTTGCGTCAATGCAGTTGTAGTTTTGGTGGTAGTAGCTGCACCAGTAGTAGGAGTATCAGCAGTACTGTTTGTGGTGGTGGGAGTAGTAGCAGCGGTAGTAGCAGCGGAGTAGCATAGTGACGAAACATTGATGAAGATTGCACAGAAGGCTGTCAAGCTCTTGATTCTTGTTAGGGCTTAGGGGAGACTACTGGCCTCAAGTGTTCGGAAGTATAGTCCGAACTTGTGGTGCCTCTGGCTATCTCCCAAACATAGGTTCTCAAATATTGCAGAAGACAAGGTTGAAATAACTGCTACCATCCTTTCCAAAGATAGAACTTACACTAAACTCTGGAGGGCAACTCACCACCGCTCCAGTGCTCCCAAGCTAAACACACGTTTTCGCAAAAAATGCTCGGTAATTATGTTGTCTGAAATACCTGAAATACCCTCCCTAATCACCCCCTGGTGCAAGAATGCTAAGCCCTACGCTAATTACCCCAAAGCTGGAACATATGAACCACAAACCTTGAACTCTAAGCTCTAAAAATTCTAGATTAAAATATCACACTACACCCCTGTAGATACTTATGCCTATGAACCCTAAACCCCTCAACCGCCTGAACCCCATACTCCAAATGTTACTTTCCCAAAACAGGGGGACCCCAATATAGACCCCAAACTATTATAATCCGTATTATGGGGACCCTTGGCATGATAGCCCTAATAGGAGGAAGCCCCCAAATCTGCAGTCGCCGGCGTCCTCAAGAGCCGCTTCTCCAAACACAGAAGAGCTTCCTTGGTCGGGCCCTCGCTGTTGGGTGAGCAGGGTTATATAGGGCTTATATGGGGTTATATAGGCTTCATATAGGGTTGTACAGGGTTTATAAATGGTTGTATAGGGATCTAAAGGCTATAGTCTAAACTCCTTAAAGGGGGTAACATAGGGGATTCTATAAGGGACTACTATAGGGGTTATTAAGGGGGATATAAGGAGTTTTTGGACAATGGCTTATATAGTACTATACGGAGAATATAGGGATTATGGCAAAGAAAATGGAAACTACTATAATATATTTGGGGCTATATCGTGGGGTTTAGGGGTTAATGTACGCCCATGATTAATTAACCCCTTCTTTTATGGGCCTTAAAATTAGGACCCCTATTTTCATCCCTATTAGGGGTCTACATCACATAGGGTTCCTAAATCATAAGCCCCAAGCCCTGAAACCTTAAGGCGGATAGGGATTATGGAGCTTCGTGGGGGGGCCCTCAGCCCCAGGTCGGCAAGTACCATCAAGGCCTTCTGAGGTTTGGGGTCCCTCTCCATTCTCACTACTACTGTTAGTACTGTGATTATTATTGTTACTCTCCTTATTAGTATCATTAGTATTGCTAATGTGTTTCTTATTATTTCTTTTATAATTAGTATTACTAGTCTATTATTAGTTTGAGACTATTTATTATTACTATTACTATTATTATTGCTGTCGCTATTGCTGCTATTGTTACTATTATTCTTATGATCTTATGATTAATACTACTGATATGTTCCTTTTACCATACCATTGCTGCTGCTCCAGTTGTTTGATTCATGGCATCTGGCTGATCTTTCGTAGGCCGTGTGCTTTGGGGTTTATAGGGGTTATATTGAGGTAATATAGTGATTGTATTGGGAAAATGGAAAATACAATGGACACAAAATTCATGGAAAGCACAATTTAGGGTTTAGGGTTTAGGGAAGCGTGGTCCATGTTTTGCTGAATGTTTGTATTGCGAGGGGCAGGTAGTCCATTTGCTTCAGAAATTGGAATTTTACACAGTAAGAGTAATAATGGTAACAGTAGTACTACTTGTAGCAATAGCACGAAAAGTAATTACAGCCATGAGGGTTCTTGATTTCGATGATATTTAGCACTTTCCTCCAACATAAGGGGATTCCCTGCGCACAGCCTCCCAAAAAGGGCCAAGCCCAGGCCTTATCTGAGCCATAATCTAAACTCCTTAAAGCCGGTTATATAAGGGATTCTATACGGGGACTGCTATAGTTGTTAAGGGGGATACTAGGAGCTTAGACTATTTCAATTCGGACCTTGAGCTCTATTCACTGAGCTCAGTTACCCCAAACCAAGAACTCTGAAGCCTAAATGGCCAAAGTTCTAAATCCATGTTTAAAACCTTGAGCTCAACCTCCAGAAGCCCCTAAAGTGTACCGCGACTTTGAAGTTTTGGAGTTTAGAGTTTAGGGTTCGGGAATTTGGACTGCATTCTGCGCGTTTGCCTTCCTAGGTGGCAGCTGCCTGCACCAGGCAAAAGCGCCAGGGGCTCTACGACGGCATGCGTGGAAATCGCTTACGCAACACTTCCTTGCATAGGCGGATGTCTTTTTATATGATCCCATACAATCTGCCCACTAAGGTAGTTTATGATTATCCTCAGCGTCCCCATGGTTCCAGTAAAGAATTGCTTCTTCATAAAACCCTACATCCTAAATCTGAAGCCTTGAACCTGGTTTAGGGTTTAGGGTTCAGGGGTAGTTCCCCGAACTTGGGGTCCCATTTTATACTTGGGAGAATGGAAAAGAAAATGGAAACTGACATGGTATAATGCGGTTATATAGGGTGTAGGGTTTCGGGTTTAGGGTTTCCCCACGAAGCAGTGAAGAAGGTCAAGAGCCCCTCGACTCAGCAGCAGTTTGGCTCAGTGAAGGATGTGTTTTCCAGCTTTCAAGGAGGCTACCAGAAGTAATTCCTTTCAATGGGATACTATAGTGCCCAGTATAGAACAAGACTGTATGTTTCATGTTTATGTATATAGACATTACAGATTGGAGTTGTATACGTCACGAAGCAGCCACGACGATTGTAAGTATACCTGGAAGGTAGAAGGTCCTCTCAGTCACCTGCCCGTTTTGGGCTTCATACTACACGACTCCCAGGCTTTTGAAGCTTAAGCCCGAAACCCTGACCTGGTAGTTTCCCAAAACAGAGGACCTCAATATAGATCCCACAATATTATCCTTAGTATGGGGATCCCCAAAAAGGTCCCCCCTAATTTTGGGAAACCTCCACCTTGTTCCCTACATCCCACAGGGTCAGGCACTGACCTCCTGCTTTGAACATCCATGGATTGCCATGCTGATATGGCAGCGGATCAGGCGTGGTGTCCAGCGGTGCTGCAATTTACTGGGGGTGTAGTAGGGAATAAGGGAATATGTTTTATACAGGGTATAGGGTTTAGGGATGTTTGGGGTAGGGAATAAGGGAATATGTTATATAGGAACTTTGCAGGGGTTATGTCCCATTGATATATTCCCGCGTTATTGTTCTTGGCCTGTTTGGTGGTGCTGCTGTTGATAGGGTTTCTTGTCACCATTACAACCATCACTACTTACCTGTCAGCCAGGGCTTCCGGATCGCGCTGCATGGGGCTTTCGGTGCCTTCCTGGATGCTCCGGCACTTAGCTGCCTGCTGGCGGCCTCGTTGGTGGCTCGGGTGCGAATTCGGATCCCAATGACCAGATAAACATTTGTGCAGGATGTATCTTTTCTGGTGGAAGGTGTTATCCAAATGCAAGTAGGATCTTTGTGTTTGGGTGCTTGGGGCCCCAATGAAGTAAGGGTGCTAGGAGTCTGTGGCAAAATGTGTCAACGAGACCGCTATTGAAGCCAGCATAGAGCCAGCTGTTTCACTTGGCCCAAATAGGGGTATATAGGTTAGGAGGACCCCCGTGATGGTGACTAAAAGGGATAATCAGGATTATGTTCGGGCCCTATCATATTGCTGTCATACCACTATTACAGGGTGGGGGGTCCTCCTAATATGTAGCGATATGACCCCAACAATGGAGAATCAAATGGAAAAGAACGTGTAAAATGAAATGGAAGCTGGTTTTAGCTTCCACTATTGCAGTTGAGGGACCTCGGATCAGCTTTCTTGTGTGTTCTTTCGGTTGGCAACCGGTCTGTATATGCGCCCTAAGCCCTAAACCCTGGACCCTAAACCCTAAACCCTCAACCCCAAATCCCCAACCCAAACCCTAAACCCTAAAACCTCTAACTCTCAGGAGATCGCGGCTGCAACCAAGGGCACGTTTCGGTCGGCCTTGATCCAGCTGATTGAGAAGCGAGATCCTGGCATGGAGAAGGACGCAGTTAGGGTTTTGCTTTCGGTAAGTACCGGATAGTAGTTTCCATTTCATGTGCGTTTGCTATTCCATCTGATTGTTCATTTTGGAGTCATATTCTAAAACTGGATTTACCTCTATCTACCTCTATATAACCCACATCTAGACTGCGCACTGTGCATCTGCCAGCGATCGCTCGGCCGCATGCCAAGACTCACTAACATGCTTCCCATATGTTTGGGATCATTTTTAAGACTAGGGTTGGGGGGTATAATATTCGTATGAGGGGACCCTAAACCCTAAACCCTAAAAAAAGGGTTTAGGGTTTAGGGAACCCTGACATCTTCCATTTTTTTGCCCTGCTCCGCGCAGGCGATAGGGGCTCTGGCCAGCGCTCGGGGTGACGAGCAACCTACCTTCTGTTAGAACTCCTATATAACTCCAATAAAACTCCAGCATAACCCCTAATGTAGCCCCAATATAACCCCTGTAGAACCCCAATATAACCCAAGAACCCCAATATAACCTCTATAGAACCTTGTTAGTACGGAATCAAGGAGTTCATTTTTGGTTTGATAAAAGCAAGGATTCTGGGGATGATAGTAGGAACCTATTCCTTAAACCACCCAGAACCTTATGGTTATTGGGGACCGTTCTTAGCGTAACATGTAGGGATCTATTTCCCAGAGCCCTAAGCAATATGTAGTAATCTATTACCAGAGCCCTAAGCCCTGGGCCCAGGCAAGCAGCGCTTGTCATTGCTGCAGCCTTGGCCGCACCTCCCTTCGATGCCCGCCTCGCGAGGCGAGGAACATCAGAGCACTGACTTAGGGCTTGGGGTTTAGGGTTTAGGGAGGTTGTTTGTGATCAGATAGTTTTGTGGCACATGAGAATGGCGAATCAAACGGCAAGTTACATAAACAAACACGTTGAACTCAGGATCATGTTGGAGTTCACACTGAATTTGATATGGTCCCAAATTGGCTGATTTTTGTGCTCTGAACTTAACAGGCATGGAGTTTCGGGTTTGGGTTTACTGTGCTGTTGCATGATGATGGTGTTTTGTTGGGAAGGCTATTCATTGGGACTGTTTCGCGAATCTTGCATTTCAGCCCTGAACCCGTGAACCCTCAACCATACCCCGTCAACTCCCATCCTTGAAGCCCTAAACCCCAACCCTAAGTGCGTGCGATGCAGGTGCGCTAGCAAGGCTTTGCTGAAGCTGGCTGGGAGGGGAGATGCTGTCGTCACAGAGGTTACTGGCCAGAAGTTTTGTGATTCTTGGTTCTTGGTGAAAATGAAAAAGGTAGTTCCCCAATGCTACCGCTATTGATCACATCCTCGAACGAAGAACACACCCTCCACCCTCCAAAATTCAACATGTTCCTAATACATGCTGGCACTGGCTTGCGAGCTTTCCTGACTAGGGTACACGTATTTGTTACCAGGCGGATGCCATTTTTTCTATGTTTACTATTTGTACTATTTCTTCTTCTACTTTTACGATTACGCACATTAGTACTATTACCACTGTTGGTACCGTTACTAATACCACGAACACCAGCTCTACTGCTGCTGCTATGACGACGACTAGTACTCGTACCGGTACTCTTTTACAAGTACTACTGCTGCTGCTGTCATTTGGGTTTCCACCACTACCACCACACTACACATACCGTTTCCATGGTTCTTGTCATTTCTTATTACTACTACAACTACGACTAGTACGACGACTGCGTCGACGAGGACTACAACGATGACGACGTCGAGGGCGACGACGACTAGCGCTACCGCTACTAGCACTTGCACTCGCACTAGCACTGCATGCCAGAACTGCTACCGCTACCCGTACTTTGATTACTAGTTCTACAACTCCTCCTCCTGCTCGCGCTGCTTCAGCTGCTGCTCTCGCTGCAGTTTTAGTACTGCGACTAGGCATGGCAAATCATCACCGCAAAAATGACATTGCAAAACACACCGCATGCAGTCTTCGGGAGAAGAGGGGGTACCGAGGCCGTAAGTGGCCACCTGCAGCATGAGTCTCACCTGGTGCGCGAGCATGCGATCGTCGCTCTCAAGGAGCTATCCAGGCATCCGCAGTACTGGGTCAAAGTTGATCATAGTTTCCAACTTGCCAGTGAGACTTCACGATAAGGAAGACGAGTCAGGTTTACTGTTAGCCCCATGAGGAAGCAGGTTATGATTTCGGTGTCATTGGGATACAAGTCCCAGATCTTTCCCGCACATCCAATGTAACTACTTTCCCAACCCAGAACCCCTAGAGGATCCAAAAAATGGAACCCTCGCAATATGAACCCATTACTACATTGGGGCAACTAGGGGATTCCTTTAGCGGCTCTGGGAATGCAGTCGTGGCGATGCAGCTGTGGTCCCAAAGCTTGTAGCAGCCTTGGCTGATGACGGGCTCAGAGTGCGCATGGCTGCCACAGATGCTCTGCGAAGCCTGGTCTCTTGGCAATAGGGGCCTCCAAAATAGTCTTTAATTTTTGGTTACCATAATCCCAATAAGAACCCAAAATTATGGATTTTAGTGGGGTTTTGAGGTCAGTTGAGTTGGGTCGACTTAGTGAGGCAGTGCGTGCTTTGCATCATGAGGCCACGTGGTTGGGATTTTCATGTTTCTGGCACTTTGTTTTGATTTGCAATATTATAAGCGTGTAGCGCAAGGGCAGTGTTCAAGCTGACGCCTTCCTTCCATGACAGATTCTCTGCCATTTAGTGCCAAACAAGATGGAATGGAATGTCCAACATCAGGGGGGCTGGGCTGTTTTCTAGTTGTGGTTTTGTAGCATAGGGGACTGTCTAACTCCTTTCCCTGGTGCTCAAATATTCTTCCTAGAATTCTCCCGGTCGGTCTGTACTTCGTTGCATCATTCACGTTTCATATGAGGAGCAGGAAGCTGCCGGAAACCCATCAGCCCCAAAATCCTAACACCTCAAATCCACAACGCACGAAACCCTAAATTGCAAGCCTCATAAACCCTAAAACCCAAGAAACCCGAAACGCCAAACCCTGAACCGTGAAACCTAAACACTAAACCTTCAAGGAACCCAATTCAAGGCGCATAGGAGCGATCCCTGCTTGACAGCACTGGTCGTCGATCACCTGGGTCACCAGTCGCTAGACGTCCGGGAGGCGTCTGGAAATTTACTCACCCTCATACCCTAAACTCCAAACCCTAAATCCTAAACCCCTAAGCCCCGTATCCCTCTCCACTTCCCTGATATTGAATGTTCCTAATAGAACACCATCACACATCTGGGCCAAGATTCATCATCAGAGAGCTCTTAGCTGGAGTTTCACCCAGTAATAGGGACTCTAAGGGATAGTGGTGATCTTAGGGTCCTCTTATATTCCTGTTATGCCAGCACCATGGGGTGGGGGGTTTAGGGCTTAGGGGTTGACCCTAGACCCTAAACCCTAAAGGGCTTAGGGGTTGCTCATGCTTAAGTTGAGAATGGGGAAACGGGTGGCAGGGACCGGCATGGGTATTGAATAATGATGAAGATAGGTAGGGGTTATGTAGGGGTTCTAGAGGGAGTAGGGTTTCCCAACATCAGGGGCATTTTGTGGGGTCCCAGAATAAGGATAGTAGCATATGGGGGTCTATATGGGCGTCTTTTCTTTTGGGAAACTGCCATATACGGATCTAGCTAAAGCAGACACGAGCAGAATTTTTTGGGATGGATAGGCCTTTCTTGAGTGTGCTTCACGGGGATAATCAATTGTTCACGCAGAGGGGTACACAGAGTTGTGGGAAGTTCTGGGTCCCTTTATCAGGGAGATTTGGCGGTTACGTCGAATGTATGTCGAGGTTTGCTGTTCTTCAGAGATAATCAGGACCGGCCACAACAACAAGCTGCACATTTGCACTGATTGAATTGATGGTGCTAATTTCTAGTGATCGTGGCCCTTGATGACGGAGGTGTTGATTGATGATTTTGATGATTTCGATGATGACGATGATGAAAAAGAAGATGATGGAGATTTGGTAGTTTCCTTAAATAGGGGACCACAATATAGACCCCAACATATTTTAATCCTGATTACAGGGACCCCAACATGGTACCCCTAATTTTGGGAAAGCCCTAAATCCCTAAACCCTAATCCCTAAACCTTATATAACCCTGTATACACCCCATGTTAACCTTCTAAATCCATCAGAAAGTACACCTAATTCTGGGAAAGCCCCATTTTGTCATGATGTCATCATCCTAGTCCTGCTCTATGGATGGGACCTGATAGCGCTCGAGCTCCTACATCTTAAGACCTTGGGTTTAGGGGTTTGGGATTTAGGATTTAGGGTTTAGGGTTTGGGGGTTTGGGGGTTTAGGGTTTAGGGTTTAAGGTTAAGGGGTTTGGGATTTAGGTTGAGTTTTTAGGGTTTTGAGGTTTAGGGCCTAAGTTTAGGGTTTTGGGGTGTAGGGTTGACTCCTGGTTTCATAAGTTCTTACGGCGTAGTATGGGAATCAAATCCCTGCATTGCTCCGGAATCACCAATAAAGGGGTGTGGCAAGTGGCAGGAAGGTCCCAACTCCAGTTACAACAGTTCATGACCCAACAGTTACAACACTTTACCAAAATCCTGGTTACACCTTTTACAGACCCCTTCATCGCGTTTTGTTTTTGGTCGGACGGATAGGGTTGATAGGGTCATGTACACTAAGGGTAGACGACGATGACGGACCCAAAGATATTGGCTAGAGATTATTTCAGCAGAAGCCATGAGAGTGCTGAATCACTATCTTGATCAAACCGTCAAAGCCGGGCATAGGGATTTAGTAGGAGTCAACCAATTATAAGATAATGACGGTACATTCCTTATTATGGGGACCCCCAAAAGGATACCCCTAATTATGGGAAACCCCCATATAAGCGCTTGGCAAGGCAGCGCTGATCGCACTACAGCAGCTCGCGGCTCCAGGCTCTATGGTAAATGATCCAAATTCCTGTTCCCCAAATTCAAAAAATACTAAGAACAAGAAACAAGAACAACAAAGAAAACAAGCAAAATCATAACAGTACTAATAATAGCAATAAAGCTATTGATAGTAAATACATGGTTTCCGATATACTTTTTCCTTATAGACCTAGAGGATCCCTCGATATTTCCCCAAACAAAGGTCATTACGTGGGGTACTTTTGTCTTGACAGCTGCCCAAAAGTCTTGCAGTGTCTGCACAAATACCCTAACCCCAAAACCCAAAACCCTAAACCCTACACAATTCTGAAAAAAGAGTGTGGAGATGCAGGCTGCGCAGATGTCATTGCCTCGATCTCCTTGCGCATGGCCGATGCAGACATAGAAGGGAGGAAGGCGCTTCTGACCGCTCTGCAGCAGCTGCATGTCTGCAGAACCCCACAGACATCCTTGACTCCTAGTGTTTGGGGAGTATGGGGTGGAAGATCGGATGTGAACAAAAATTCCCCAAGAGCGCTGGCAGATGGAAGAGATTCGACACCAACCCCAAAGTTCTCGAAATCCCACAAGGTATGCTTTAATGGTGCAGGACAGGATGTGCTGCAGCCTCGATGGCGACAACAATCCACCATAGGCTTACACGCGAAGTTTTAGACCCCATGTACTAATCTTTGGAATCCAGAATCTCTGCATGCGCTGCCAACTTAGGCTAGCTCCGCCAGGCAGGACGCCCTGAGGGCGTTGATGGCATGCACTGGAACTGAAGTAAGGTTGTAGGGCCTTTTAGGGTACAGGATTTATGGCAAGTTAGGGTTCAACATGAAAGTAGGGTGGAGGATTCGGGTTTGCTGATCTGCTTCGAGGGTTAGCTGGGGGTGGGTTTAAGTGGTAGGTTCCCTACATAGGGGGATTCCAATATAGACCCCCCAAATATTACAATCCTTGAAATTTGAAATGGGGACCCCGAAAAGGTACCCTTAATTTTAGGAAACTCTAAACCCTAGACCCTGTACCCCTATAAAGTCCCTACATCCTCCTTTAAAGGTACCCCTAAAATTGGGACACCCCCAAAGTATGTTGGGTATGGAGTTAGGCGGCTTGCTCAACATCATCACTGGTACAGAGCACGTCACGGTTTACAGCATCTACGGTTTTAGGGTTTAGGGGTGTAGGGTTTAGGGGTTTGGGGGTTTAGGGGTTGGGGTATATGGTTTAGGGCTTTGGGTTTGGGGGTTTAGTGTTTAGGGGTTTGGGGTTTAGGGTTTTAGGACTTGCCAGATGTAGGCTCCAGGTTCTTACAACTTTCCTAAACCCCCAAACCCCAAAACAATACTGGGGTCCTTGTGACTTGGTGCTTTCAGAAGGGGACCCTGATCTTGCTTATAGTGCTCATAGGCGCTTGTTGCTGCTTCCCCCCAATCCTTATACACCCATAGGTTAGGTTCCCGAAATAAGGGGATCCCAATATAGGCCGCCAAATACCCCCAAAATGGCAGCCCTAGTTTAAGGAAGCCACCATATCCACTGGCACCAGGGAAGAAAGACTCTGAAGACTCAGAAACCCTAAGCCCTAAACCCTAAACTGTGTGCTGCGTTCGAGCTGCATCTCCCTGAATCCTGCCTTTGCCTTTGCTTCAGCACCGTCCTGTGTAGCTGTAGAACTCCACACGTGAATGGTTTCAAGCCCTTATGGATCCCTTTTTGCCTCGTAGAACCTCTTTTCAAATCTCGCACTTCCCTTGATTCCTCCACATGGCCTAGTTTTGGTTTTGCAGATATCTGTGCCAGGCAATGAGGCTGCCGTGCGGGAGGCTGCAAGGCGCTGTTGGGGACATGCTTGGAGGGTGATGGCAACTTCTTTGCCTAATTGCAAGTGTACTTAATGCAACTGCCAGCCCCCGAAGTCAAATAATATGGCTATGATTGGGTTACAAGTGCCAGTTATAATTGGGTCATCATGAGTCTGAACCTCCGGGTAGGCTTGGGGGTTCAGGCTCCAGGGTCGGAAGAAGACGTACGAATCTTTTAGGAATTATTTGTGGTTGTCAACACGAAGGGTCCGCTATGGGGATGCGCGGGAGATAGTTCGGAATTATATGGGCTTTACAGGGAGATGTTGTGGAAGAGCGGCGACGTGTAGGGTCCCGAATTAACACTGGTTGCTCGCGTGTCTAGACTTGGCATTTCGTCTGGCTGCCATCATACATGGGATCCTCGGTTTTCCTGGCGTCTCACGGGGAATACATAGGGCTTTTCAGGGACCTAGACATGTATATCGGGATGTGCAGGATATGCAATAGGTCATACATAGGGGTATACAGGGACGTCTAAACAGACATCGGCATGTGCAATGACATGCCATAGGTTTTTTGTCAAATTATTTTGCCGAATGCTCCGCAGAAGGGTTCCCGTTTGAAGGTTGGGGTCCAGGTGCCCAGGAGGTGACCAAGATTCGTTGCGTTTGTGTCCGCAAGCGTTCGCAAGCGTTCGCAAGCGTCCGAAAGCTTTTGCCAGTGTCGCACATGCGTCGTAGTCGCGAAACGCAGAACTGTCTCACTTTCGGGCTTGCTCCTGGTCCTCGCATCTCAAAAGTGTCAACAGGCACAGGGATCGGGGGGGTCCTGGTCGCGAAACGTAGAACTGTCGTCACTTTTGGACTAGAGGATGGAGGAGAGGATGGAGGCGGGGATAGAGGAGAGGATAGAGGAGAGGATGGACGAGAGATCGAGGAGATGTTTTAAGAAAGAGACAAGAGTACACAGGATAGGATAGAGGATAGAGTGGAGGAGAGGATAGAGGAGAGGATAGGAGAGGAGAGGAGAGAATGGAACTATATGTCACGTGTCTGCATTCGGGTTCGTGGATCCTATCAGGTTTTCCCATACAAATCCAAACCCTGTTAAATCCTAAGCGCCCTAAACCTTAGTTGGCTCCGCACATCCTGGAAGCGACACAGGCGCCTCACCGATTCCAGCATCGAGGTTCGCAAGATGGCCTTGCGAGTGTTGCGTGGAGTGATGGCTCAGGGGTAGTAGGGTCTGTGTTAGAATATGCTCAAAACATAGGACTATGTAGACTTTTGCACACCTCCCCTTGTCTGTAGGTGCAGACACAGGCAAGGGGCGCCATAGCAGGCATATGTTAGTTCAAATCCGCTCTACACCCGAAACCTTCAACATTAATCCTGAACCATACACTCTTTGCCCCGAAGCCTACACCCGAAACCCCAAAGACATTAGAGCCGAAACCCTTGCTCTCTCTAAAACCTACACCGCACACCCTACCTGGAAAGCCAGTCGCCAAGTATCATAATTTACTTCCCCCGATTTCCTACCACTCTGGGTGTAGTTTTTGCAACCCTAAACCTCAAACCCTAAACCTCAAACCCTAAACCCCTCAAACCACAAACCCCAAACCCCTAAACCCCCACACCACTAAATCCCTAAGCCCCTAAACCCCAAGCCCCAACCCCTAAACCCTCAACCCCTAAACCCCTAAACCCTAAACGTTATACACTAAAAGCGGATCCAAGGCTTGGAACCCTGGCAGAAGACATGCCACCTGTGGAGCGCAGAGTGATTTCTGGCAGCCTCAAGGACAAGCCGGGATGCTTTCGTGACATAGGGTTTAGGGTTTAGGGTTTAGGGATTATACAGGGGCTAATGTCTAAACTCCTTAAAGGGGGTCATATGGGTGGATTATATAGGGATGAGGGTTTAGGGTCTAAAGTCCTTCAATGAGGCTATATCGGGGATTCTATACGGGACTATCATAGGGGTTAGGGGGATAATAGGAGTGTTTACCATGGCTCATATAGGGAAAGGAATCATATAGGGAGTTTTGGGGGTTGACGGATTTTGGTGGTTTAGGCTTTTTTTAGGGGGTGGATTAGTGGTTTAAGGTTCTTGTGCTAAGGTTTGTCATCTTGAAGGAACAGATTATTGGGGAAGTCGGGAAAGCTGCGCTTTCCTTACCTTAAGCCCCAGATATGCCCAAAGCTTTTCGGAGAGTTCCACTCGTAACGGCATCAGCCTAGCTTCTTACTGGCGGTTAGTAGGGAAAAGGGAATACAATCCCATTGTAATCCCTATATAATGTATTTCCTCATTCCCTACTTACCACCAGTAAGACTTTCTGGCAGGACTCACATGCCTCCGTACGCAAGACTGCCATCACCTCCCTCGAGAAGCTACCGGGTTGCTATTATCTGAACTATAGTAAAAACTCCTTAAAGGGGGTTACTTAGGGGGATTACATAGGGTTTTGGGTTTAGGCTCGAAGCTCCTTAAAGGGGGTTATGTAGTGTTATAGGGGTTATTATGGGGGATGCTAGGAGTTTAGATTATCGCTCATTTGAGACAGCTTGGGCAACATAACAAAGGATCTGGTACTCGACAGGCATTCTCCCGACTGCGCTCGAATATTACAAGATTCCATCACAGAATTGTACATCCTAGAAAACGCCTATGCATTACCACCCCCCCCAGGAAGAAGGCATAAGTTTGATGCCATAACTCTAACTCGTGAACCCGCAACAGTAAAACCCCCCCACCGCGAATCCCAGACCCTAAGATTTCAAATCTGAAGAACCCTAAGCCTCAAATCCTACACCCTAAAGCCCCGTACTGTATCTTACACCCTAAATCAACACACCTTGAACCCTGAACCCTAGACCTGAAGCACTTAAACGCCAAACCCGCCACCCCTGATGGTAGTCTCCAGTGCATTTTCTATCTTGCTTTCCACGTGATTCTCCACTCTTGGGGTAATAAGATATACCCCTAAACCTTAAACCCATATACAACCCCACATATCCCCAAACTCTGGCCTCAAAAGCTCGAACCCAGGCTGGCTACCAAGTGTTCCTGGCTGCAAAGTTCCGCGGCAATAGAGTTTAGGGTTTAGGGTTTATCATGAGTTGTAGTTTGATTAGGGTTGTGTAGAGAAAGGCGGTCTAGGGATTAAGGTTTAGGCTTGGGCGCTTTGGGCTTAAGATTTTGCTGCAGAAATACGGCTACTGTGTTGTCAGGGGTTAAACCACGCAACTTGAACCGTGTGATGAAATGATAAGGGTTTCCAAAGATTCCAATATTATAATTTGCCTGCTTGGATGCACCAACCACCATCCTTTTGCTTTGACTTGACAGGCATAGTCAGATGTGTAGTCTGCTGCTGAAACCTGCTGCAGGCTTACTGTTAGATCGGCTTGAAGACCCTGCACCTTGCGTGCAATGCGCAGCAATTCTGGCAGCGGGAAGGATCTGTGACCTTGATGACGAGGCGCCTGTAGAGCGGTTAGCAGGGTTTAGGGTTTAGGGTTTAGGGTTAAGTCTGTCAGAGAGGTAGCCTCATGCCTACCAGGACAGCCATCTTCCACAGAATGTAGTCCATGGAGGTTTCCCCAAAGTAGGGGTTCCTTTTTTAGGGTTTCCTATAGTATGGACTATCGTATTTTGGGATCTACAATCATTGGGGCCCCCTATTTTGGGAAACTCCCTCATACAATCTCTCTTGCATTCGGTCTGAAACCTTTGCAGTCCGCGACCTCTGCAGCTGTTGCGTATGCAGGCCACGATCCAAAAGCTAGCATCCTGCCTTGTATCGTCCGAGAAGATGTGTGAGGCTTCCTTGCTGTGTTCTGTAGCATTTCCATTTTGGCTGAGGGATTGGCACGGATAGGGTTTGTTTCAGGGGTGTATGGCTAAAGGGTGCACAGAGTTTGGGGCTACAGGGTCTATCGCATTCAGAGTGTAGGTGTCTACTGGGTGCAGGATTTTTGGATCTCGTGTCAACTAGCTTGGCAAGTCACAGGGGATTTGTACAGTCACGCTTACAGGACGACTCAACATATGAGCTACTGTCAATCTTAACAACTTCACAGTGGACATGGGGATCCCGTCTGTACTTTAGTATAGTCCCTAATATAGTCCCTAACAGGGAAACTATGTCCATGATACTCAGTAGGAAATATTAACTCTAGCTCATATAATTTCTACATGATGTATTCCCCTATTCGCTACGAATCCCCCGTAAGTCATAAGTTGTAGGCGGACAGTTGGGGAAGTGTCTTAAAACTACTGTTTTCGAGCGACTCCAGAAGGCTTCAAAGCCTAAACACCGAAATCCCAAACCCTAGTCCAAAACCCCAAAACTACAAACGTCCCAAACTAACCCCAAAGTCTACACCTAAACCCAAGCCCTGAAAGAGAATAGTAGCTTCGATTGCATCTCGCATAGTATTCTCCATGCCTCAACAGGCGGCAGCAGAACAGGCCTTAGGCAGCCTCTTGCAGAGGGGTTCGCATGTCCCGCTGCCCCTGCTGGTGCAGCTGCTGTGGCACGAGGACGAGAAGGTGCTTTGACCGGAATTCAGATGCCTAAGCAACTGCTAATGTCATTGTCCTAGATTTTTCAGATGATGGTCTAGAGTATCTCATAGGTAACGAATTAGGCACCTGTAGTACTGCGGGGTTTGGGGTTCAGGGAGCTTCTCGTAGGGTTTCTGGAGGGCTTTGCGGAGATGTAGCAAGTTTGTTTCGCAAGTTGGTTTTAATAGTGGTTTAATGGGGATGTGACTGCGTTTAGGTGTGTTGGAGATTTGGAGTCTTCCAATGGTTATTCTCAGGATATCTACATATGAGAACCATCTTTTAGCTTCGGGGTGCTGCTCAGACATCCAGAAGATTTGAAGGGGATTTTTGGGCATCTAGCTGCGGCCATGCGGATAAGAAGCACACTTACTATAGTCCCCCTTAAGTAGATAGAACATGGTTTTGGGTATTTTATTAATTAGATCCCCTTATACCCCATATTCTATCTACTTAAGGGGGACTACAATTTCGTAAGGCGCTCTTAAGCATACGGTCAAAGCAATGTTCAAGCAAACGCTGCAGCGATCTGGTGCGTGCAGAAGCAGTTTGCTCTCCGAGTCTCCGAGGTGCCCTATAGAACCCTACATAACCCTAGATAGACAGATAGATAGATAAATGAAAATATGCAGGCATATACATATATATATATATTTATATTTATACGCCTATATAACCCTAGATAGATAGATAGATAGATTGATAGATAGATAGATAGGCACATGAAAACGTATATACATATATACATATGGATATAGGTATATGTGCATATATATATATATAAATGTAAATATATGCGAGTGTGTACGTGTGTATATATTTATAGATATAGGTATATATACATATAGGTCGATGGTAGGAATCTTGTACCAGCCGGTAACCCCCCCAACAGAGGTATTTTCTTTCGGTATATCACGTGGTGCAATTTGTCTTTCATCAAAAGTGTTACACGGTTTGGGGTTTAGGGTGGTTGCCCTAAATCAGGGACCCCAATGTAGACCCAATAATACTTTCTTTTTGATGACAATCCTTAATCCTTACACCTTAACCGCTAAACCCTAATCCTTAATCCATAAGTCCCTAGACCCAAAGTCCCCAAACCCTTAACCCTAGACCCCTGAGTAGAACCAGGTGCGTGAATCAGCAAACCTGGTGCTTGCCCGGCTGCCTTCCCAGTGGCAATGGATGAGGCGCCAGACTCTAAAGGGTTTATAGCGGGATGTATAGGGGTATGCAAGGGCTACATACGGATATATGGGGTCTAGGGTTTGGGGTTTGGGACTTAAGAGTTTAGGTTCTAGGGTTTCGGGTGTACAGCGATTGACTAAAAAGTCAGTCGCCCATAAGTGCAGTCTACCTTTCCCTCTTTTCCTACCATTTTGGATTGACGTAGCGCATCGTTTTGGGTAAGTGTATGCAGGTAGTTTTGTGGGCCTCGGGGTCGGGATTTACGATCTAGTTCGGGGCATCGGGTTGCAAGGTCATTATTTTGGGGTATTGGGGTTTCAGGGTGGATTTGGCTAGCGCTTTAGAGGTCATGATTTGGATTGAGTCAGGTGACTGTTAGGTGTCTAGGGTTTAGAGATCCAGGGCTTGTAAGTCAGATTAGGGCTTCGGGGATTTAGTGAGGTCAGGGTCATATGGGGATTATATGGCTGTTTCCAAGAGTAGCCGCGTGTCAGAAATTCATGTAAGGACGCATGTTTGACTGCCCCAGATACACACAGCATTCCATACCCATATACATACCTCAATACATACCTGGATACGTACCCCGGGACATACACCCACAATGTCCCCTTCGTCTGGGTTGCTGTTAAGGAACTTAGATTAAGTTACCATAATGGGTATATATATATATAGTAAATAATAGGGTTTCCCCAGTATAGTAACTTAATTCAAGTTCGTTAACAGCAACCCAGTCGTTAAGAGCCATGTACCTACGAAACATGAGTAGCCGAACCATACCTCGAACCAGATCTTCAAACATACCCCGAAGCATACCCCCGAAACATGCCCAACCCGAAGATACATTTTTTGACCACGTGTTAGCCGGAAACACCCATACAGGAGGAAGGTGACGGCGCCCCTAAGGGGCCGTGCGTTTAAAGACACTTTTTTATTGGTTTGGTGCGGCGGATGCGCGAAACTGGGGAAATATGCGCATTTCGTCGAATGCTGTTCAGCGGGTACGCGAAGTGCTAGAAGCGGTGAGAAACTTTTTGGATTTTTGCGTTTTACAATGCGTTTAGTGCGATTTCGAAGGATTTTTTGTTAAGGGAACTGTCGCGAGTCGAAGTTTCGTGAAGGGCTTGTTTTGGAAAATCTGCGTTTCGCTACAGCGGCGGCGCTGTTTTGAGGTCCTTCTGAGGCTCCTGGTTTGGGGTTTTGCAAGAGGCTTTTTCTGGTTTCACAATTTGCAGGCAGGAGAAGC